CTCTCTCTCTCTCTCTCTCTCTCTCTCTCTCTTTCTTTCTTTCTTTCTTTCTTTCTGTTCTTCCTCCAAAGAAAACTGCTCCTTGCTCAACAAACTAGAGCCTGCTGTTGATCTACAGATACGAACTACATTAGCCTGCAAGCCAAATGTGGATTTTGGTAATTGTTTATCTTACAGAAATCTGTAAATGAGGCACAGCCTGTATTTGAATGCTAATGATAAATAAAGAGCCAATGTGATGTGGTGGTTAGAGCACTGGACTGGGTACCCAGAAGAACTCACTTGGCCAAGAAGCTCCCTGGGTGACTTTGGGCAAAGCCTAGCCTATTTCAGGGGGATGCTGTTGTGATGATAAAAGGGAGCTGTGTAAGATGACTTGATTCCTCATAAAAGGAAAAAATGGAGGGAAATAAATGCCATGCAACAAATACCTGGTAGCCAACAGCCACCACTTGCAGGTAGCCACTTCTCATTTCCACTTGGTAAAGCTGGCTGCTTCCTTCTCGTCCATGATGAACTTTTGCTGCACAAAATGAGCTGACATTTTCTCTGACCACAGAACTCTAATTTGTTGTCTTATGTGGGACCTCAAATATCCACCTGAACTTGTGTGTTCTAGAATGAAATCAGAACCAATGAGTAGGCTGAGTTTTTTGAGATCTCCTGAAATTGCAGTAGCACTGATAAGTAGGTCTCACTGACTATTAAGCATTCAAGCATTGCTAAGATATTTTCATTGTTTTTGTCCTTAAGTGTACAAAGCCAAGCTGACTGAAATAAAAGAAGTAAATGGTGATGACAACTATGTCATGGAAGTTCTGGAAGTTATTAAAGCAGGTAAGAATTTCACTCCTGCAGGAAGTCATACCTTGGGGTACAAAAGCAAGAAGGCTGGCTGTGAACCACCACTGGTTTGAAGGCTCATATGAATCTAGGTCAGCCTTCCCCAACCTGGAGCCACCCAGATTATTTCTTTAATTATATATAAGGTTTATGTACCACTACATACTTCAATATCGAGTGTTTCATGGCACTAAAATACAAAATAACACAAAGAAAGGAATATAACAACATGCAAAAGATCAGTAAAATTGTAAGAGTAAAACTGGCTGGTTAGTTCAACACCGAGGCACCAGAAACAATACAATATTGGCACTGGCCTGACCTCCAGGTCTTACAGAAATGTTGCTGCTACACTGAAGGCTTTTTTCAAAGTAAACTCTAAATATGCCATAGGTCCATATGGAATCATCCGAGAAATACTATCTCTGGACAGGGTTGGTAAAGAAGGAGGCATTCTCATGTTTTGGATTTCAGTGCCCCAGCCAGCCAGCGTTGCCATTGGTCATGCTGGGAGTTGAAGTTCAGAATATCTGGAAGGCACCCTGTTGGGGAAGGCTGGCCTAGGTGAACAATTTCCAGAATTCATTGCAATACATACAGAATTCCTCATCATCATAAATGTCTGTCAACCGATCAGTCACTCAGTCAATCACTCAAACGTCCATTAAAGGCCCCTTTGAGAGATCTATGAGAGATTCAATGATCTAAGGCAGTCAGAACAAAAGACTATCTTTGATGTTTCTAGTTACAGAAAAAGGTGCATAGAGGAAAGTAGAAATAGGGGCTAGAATTTTCTTTCTTGTGTAGGACAAATTTGAATTCCAACTTTTTTCTTTTCTCATATGGCACTAGTAGTATGTGAAGAATCTAATATAGAAGTCCAAATAATTTTCATAATTCCCCCCTAAATTTTGGTTTGTTAGCTCCATAAGTTAAGCCAGTTCACCGATTTCCATCTCTAAGATAGGTTGTACTTTATGCATATTTGAACAGTAAGGAAGTTTGTGCAAATCACTCTGTTTCAGATATTTGTGCATACTGGGCACTGAAAATCATGCAGTTCTAGCAAGATTAGCACAGATTGCACTAGTACTATATGGTTTCCATCATCCAATATTGTGTCAATGGCACAATGGGCATAAATGTCCCTAGGGTTTTTTTTAACATATGAACCATGGTCTTTCCCAGAGATGGGAGTCTGTGGAAAAACCTTCAATTTGGCTTGCTTTTGATCATCAGTCTGGAAGCTTAAGCTAGGTAACAGCATCAACAAATCCCGTAGTGACCCAGATAAATGCCTTTGAATGTAATGCTAGATTGAATGCTCTCTTCCACGCTTCTTGCACAGTGTCTACCTTTGTGAACATCATCATTATTGTCATTCGAGTGCCTGCAAATTTATCCAAGGAAACATTTGTTTAACACCTGTCAACTGTAAAACACACAGACACACACAGAGAGAGAGAGAGAGAGAGAGATCTACTGAATCAGTAGAACTTATTTGCCAAAGTGAGCTTTCTTACCCCCCTAAAACTTGTCCAGTCTGTTGAGCAACACATTGGAGCAGTGTGGGAGGTAGTGCGGGAAGCTACTGGGGCACATTTTGAATGGATTAACCACCCCCCCTTCAGTGGAATGTTGAGTTGATACAAATTTTCAAAAACTTGGAAAATTGCTCAGGCAGTAGAGAATTGGCTTTGCAAGGTCACATAGACCAGCCAGTCAAGGTTATGCACCGTACCTGGCTTTTCTTGGAAACTAACAGAAGAGGGAAGGTTGTATGAAGTAAACATGAGTTTGAATGTACAGTAGCCTGTCCAGGCTAAATAAGGCAATCTGCACATACTTAAAGATGTTGTGGTAAAATGACATTAAAACAAGACTGCCCCGGGGGATGGACCAGTCAATGGCTACAAGAGGACATTGAAAAGAAAGCTCCCAATGCCTCATTAAGAATAACGAGAAAAACCCAGCGATAGCAGATGATTCTGGATGCAATTTGAAGGAGAAGGAGACTGCTGCTGGAGAGGAGTTAAATAAGTCAGTATTGTTTTTTGGACTGTAAATAAATTCCATTTATTAACTCTCATCAAAAACACCTCATTGGGGTGGAGTGATTGTGACTGTGTTGGACTAAGATGGAGATTATGCTGAAAAATAGTTGGGAAAAAGAGTTTTGATACTCGAAGCTAATTAAAAAGACTTTGGCTTACAGACTGTAAAAGTTTCAGCAGTTAAACTTAATTAGATTCGGCACAGCTCCAGCACAAGACCATACTGCAAACAATACTAACGGGACCAGCTTGTGATCTGTGAGCAAGTAAAAGCCTCATTTTCATTTGTTTAAAGTGCTCAGTGAAATTGAATGGTAAAATAAGTAAAATATAAAGACTTAAATGGGTAGTTAAAAAACTATAAACAATGAAGATTGTTTACATTCCTGAGTACCAGGTAAGAATTGTGTCTAGAAGAAAGTAAACAATAACAAAGAAGCCATTGAGAGCTCCCTCTGCTGCATGAAGGATGTATAATGGTTTTAACTTGGTGAAATAAAACTCAGTAACTGGACATGGATACAGAGCTCCATCTGATGGAAGAAGATTTAATGTTTTTTTAATTTGGTGGAATAAAGTTTAAAGGATGAGCGATTTAATTGGATTTTGAATATTGATTTGTGGGTTTTATATTGTTAATGCCACAAAACAACCACAATGAAAAACTCACTTGATCTGGACATGTGAAACAAGAAGACCATTGGATGTGAGCCTAGCCAGCGCTTCTAGGTTAACACACACAGAGAGTGAAGAAAAAATATAGGTAGTTTCAGAAGTTATGACTGAAGACAAGACCCTGAAGGATTTAAGAAGATCTTGGAATCAAGTATGAAGGAATGGAAAAAAGATGAGAGAGTAGTTGAAAGAGGATACTAGATAAAAATGGAAATTCAAAATGCTTTTATAAAATAGATGGATCAAATGAAGGTGCTGGAGAAGAAATTTGAAGAAACAGAGTTATTGGCTAAAGCTAATACATTGGATATAGTTGTCCAATCTGAAAGAATAACAGTTGGAGAAAAAGATGATTGATTTGGAGGACAGAGATCATAGAAGGAATTTACATTTAAGAAATATACCAGAACCATCACCAACAGAAGAAAGCAACACAGTGATGTGCTTGCATGGTTTAAAGAATTGATGCCAGATGAAAAATGAGAAGACAGTATAGAGAGAATACATCATGTGGGCTTCCAATGCTGAGCTAGACTAATTCTGAGAGATGTATTGACAAGATTTTCTAATTATTATAAGAAAGTTCGACTGATAAGAAGTTGAGAGAAAATTCAGGTCAACTAAAGTTTAAGGAGGCACCCATTCAAGTGTTTCAAGATTTATGCTTCCAGACTACTTCATTCATTCATGAAATTTTGCTATATAGCCAATCAACTGAGGCATATACTAGATATTGTACTACAGCCGGATAATATAATATGGGGTAAATTAGAATATCAAAATGTAAATGGGTCCTTATTAAATATCTTTCTTCAGAAAGATAATATTATTAAAAAGATAGAAACCCCCTTTTTAAGCATATGGTCAGAATTTAGAATAAATATACGGATATACGTATTTATCCCATCAATTTCACCATTATAGCCAATTATGGAATTAGAAAGGTTCCCAGCGAATCTGAGGAGTAGTTTGAAGGAAGTACTGAAGAGTAAACATGTTAATAGGTTGAAAGATTGGCTAGAGAAAATTATGAGTAAAGAAATATACAAGCAGTATTGGGATAGGGTAAAATAAAGTGGTATAATATACTTCAATTAGATTACTGGACTAAAAATTGGTTGAAAAAAATGGTAAATGCTGAGAATATACTAAATTTGAAGATATAATTTTACAGAAAGAAAAACAAGATAATATGTGGATGAGATGAATGATAAGTAAAATTTACAATATATTACTAAAAGAGGAGGATTGATACGATCCTCTTAAAGAGTCTGTACTGAAGAATGGAATAACAAGAGGGTTAACAAAATTTTAAAATTTATGGCAATTAGATTTAAAGAGAATTTTTATAAACTGGTTTGCAAATTGTACTTAACTCTGGTTAAATTGCATTATATGAATAATGACTATTCCAACATTTGTTGGAGATGAAATCAGGAAGTGGGTACACATTTTCATATGTGGTGGAAGTGTAAATATATGAGTTTTGGAAAATGGTCTTCAAATATTGAATGGTAAAATATTGAATTTAAATATTGAAGTTGATCCTGGATTAGCATTATTGTCATTATGTAGGGAACAGATGGGACAAAATACTAAATAATGATAAATTCATCAACAGCAGTAAGATTAATAATATCAAGGAACAGCAAAAACAAAGGGTGAATATCATATAGTTGACTTGTATAAAGAAGTCTGGAATATAGCTATTAATGATAAATTAACTTGTGATATTAAATGGAAAAAAGTTTGATAAGTAAAAACAAATTTGAAAATATTTGGAGACCTTTTATTGAATACGTTTTAATAAAAGGAAAGGGGTTTGAACCACCACAAGAGTCAATGTAGTTCTGGAAGGGAAATGGGGCAACCTGAATGAATAAATGATCTTACATTAAGTAACTAGAGCTGTTGGTCCTGGTTGAGGTAGCACTGATATTAATGTATTGTTTAATTATGTTTATTATTAATGTTTATTGTGTCTATCTTGTATTGTCTTTGTTAGTTTATTCTTAAAAATAAAAAACAAAAACAGGACTGTTCCCTATTTCCTTTCTGTTGATTCTATCTTTGCAAGCCACCAGCCATTCAAAACATTTCCCAGAGTGGTAAAAGCTCACAGCCCTGTATCAAGTATTTCTTAATGTTTTATCTGATTTCTCCAGGGAGTGACCCGGATCCACAAGCCTCGCCTCGCATATTCATTAGTCAGCTGAAGTGCAGGACAGCTCTGAATCTGGAGCAGAACAAGGACTATCTGGTCTGGGGTCCCAGTGCTGACATGTGGCCCACAAAAAGCGGGTATGTATTTAATTTATTTATGAGATGTACAGTTGCTTTTCCATTATCAAGTTCATGGGGTGTTTACAAATCTATCAAATACCACAAAATGTTACAGCATAAGTTTGAAAACAAGAGCAAACACTCAAAGAAAGAAGGAAGATAAAAGTAGTAGCCGTTTCACAGATTTTTCAGGTGCTGTGAAGGACCACATTGACATTTTCCTGAGATATAGATGGGGCTGTTATTTAACCTTGAAAGTCATAATGCTAAGACCCTGTATTATACAGAGCTGGAGGGCCATAACTAAGACCACCTTGGCCACTGCTCCCATCTTTTGTCTCTCAAGGAATAGCTAATGGCTAATGCTTCACCTATGGGCTTCAGCTTACAATGTGTTTACTGGATACATAAAATGTTTGTTGTACAAAGCACTGGTATAACACCAATGTATCCATAGTGTTGCTTCATTAAGTATAAAGCAGACTGCATTCAAAACCAGGGGTG